AAAATGCTGCGGTTTCGAATGGGTTAAAGAGGGGTATTAATCACGGCCGGGTGACCATAAAAAATTTTTTACGGCAACCACCTGTTTTTTTATTTTAATATCGTTGATTTTATTATAAAAAGAATAAAAATCACCCGGCTAGAGTGATTTGATGGGTTTACAAATTTTTGGAGACGCTGCAAGGCTTGGAAAAAAACAAGATCGTCACTCATCAGACACCTCAGCACAGTCTAGATCGATTGAGTTTTCGTTGCAGATAAATTTAAAAACAAAATAAAAAGCACATTATGCTAAACGTCAAAACATCAACTGATGAAGCGGAAAAGTAAAAAAACTTATGTTTCAATCTAACTGGATACTGAGCTAAATTTTGACTACAAGAAAAACCAATTGTAAGTTTTGGAAAATGATAAACAATAGGAAAGACTTGAAAATAATGATTGTGGGACATTTGATACGCGCCCCGCCCCTTTTGCCATTGGCAATCTAACTTTAAGCTTAAATTTCTTGGCGTTGAGCTGGCCAATTTAAATAGTTTTTGTACCAATCGACAGAGAAAGACTTGGCGTATCTAATGATATAAAGAATATTAAAATTGAACAGCCCAACACTAAGATATCTGAGCTTAAAGTTAGATTACTAATGGGAAAAGTGGTGGGGCGAGTATCAAGTGTCCAATCGTTGACATTAATTGTCGAAATTAGTCAACTTCAGCTATCCAACACATTGAAACTAATAACGTTTTTATAATAACGCCAAATAACAACGTTTTTTTTTTATTCTGCTTTGATCATTGAGAATTCCCTCCTTCCCCGATTCTTTCCCCGATACGACAAAGTAATTTGCGATCCATTTTTAGTTGTTTACCTCAAAGTAGAAGAATTTTCTTGAGAAAACAGCTTTCAACAGCTTTCAACAGCTTTCTTTTGCTAAGGAAAATTGTTTTGCAAAAGTGATTGCTTAGATTTGAGGCAAAAAAAAACTCAAACTTTTGAGTGATTGTGTCAAAATTTTGTTTGTCATCTGAGCTTGAGCCAAAGCAAAATTTCGTTTGTCGTCTGAGCCAAAGCCAAAGCAAAATTTCGTTCGCATGTAAAGCATTGCCTTTTGGTCATTTTACTAAATGGAAATTTGAAAAAACATCTTTTAAACGTGTTTTAAAATATTCATTTCATCTTTTTCAAGCTGTTATTTGTGTTGAAAAGTTGAAAATAAACTCTTTTTTGCACTTAATTCGTTAAATTTTGTGGGGAACCTTGAAAAAAACCTTGCTTCAACGTTAACTAGTAGAAATAAACTCTTGTTAGCACTTAGTTCGTTAGATTTCTTAGGGAATCTCTAAAAAAAACCTTGAAAAGAAACCTTGTTTCAACGTTAACTAGTAGAAATAAACTCTTGTTAGCACTTAATTCGTTAAATTTCTTGGGGAACCTTTAAAAAACCTTGTTCCAACATTAACTAGTTAAAATAAACTCTTGTTAGCACTTAGTTCGTTAGATTTCTTGGGGAACCTTTAAAAAAACCTTGCTTCAACGTTAACTAGTAGAAATGAGAATGATGATGATCAATTAGCGATATGATTTTATATTATTTGAGTTTAACAACTCGATTTCTCAAAAAAAAACGCAGAATCAATGCTCTAGAAATGGTGTGTTTGCAAAGTGAGCACAAATTACGCCAAGAATCACAATGATCTAAAAATAATAACATCATTGACGCAATAGATCACTCAAAGTCATTTTTTCGGGATTAATTATTGATAAAGCTATCAAAAACAGCATTCGTATTTTGCAATAAAAGAGACATCAAGTTTTTTTTGTTTGCGCTTTTGTGTCCACTCCATTTTTCATTAATAGAGTCCACCCTCAGAAAAGGCATTTATCCCTGAAATCCCATCAAGAAAGGGAAATGGAAAAATAAAAAGAGGAAATTTGATCCTCTGGATATTTTATTGGTTTCATTTCTGATTTATTCATTTGGGGTTTTTATAGAGATGACAAATGACAACCTAGGCAAACAAGCGATGATCAGTGAGCGATTCGGATGCTATTTTAAAGCTGATACTTCTATATTTTAAAGCTGAACAAAACAAGTTTGACAAGCTGAAATGTTTAGCTATTAGGCTGCCGAGAAAGGCTTAGACTTCTAAACAGAAAACTGTTTAGAAACTGTTCTAAACTGCTATTAGGCCATTCTATTCAAAACGAATTTCTATTAGCTACTCTTTATATGTGAAATGAAAGATTTTTCACTAGAAGGTCAAATTTTAAGCGAATTTTTTGGCTCTCTTTAAAACCGTTTAAACGTTTAAACTTTTTCATTCAATGATTTGAAATTGAACGTTATTTCTGGCGTTATAAAGCTATAAGCTAAAGCTAAAGCTATTATCAGGTTGGCAACTAAATAATGGCCCTTTTCAGTAAAAACAAAAAATTTATTAACAAGATGAACAAATATCAACATCAATCCAAAAGGTATTCTCCGTCATTCTTTATTACTTCTTTCCACTTTTGACGGAGCAACTGGATTCCTCTCTTGAAAAATTCTTCTGGTTGATCGTCAAAGAACTTCTGCACTGAAATTCGGACTTCGTCAAGGTCATTGAACTTTTTCTCGGCTAGAAAGTGTTGCATCGATCGAAAAAGATGGTAATCACTAGGCCCCATATCCGAGCTGTATGGCGCATGAGGAAGAACATTCCAGCCCAACTCCTCGATTTTCTCCATTGTAAGTTTTGCAGTGTGTGGTTTTGCGTTATCATGGAGAAAATGAATTGAAGAGGGTTCGAGTCCTTGAGAGCGAATTGCTTGATCTACACGATGTAGTTGAGACGAATAGAGTTCTGAATTAACCGTTTGCCGGCTTTTTGAGAACCTCGAAATGCACCAACCCACGAGAACTCCACCACACACAGAGGAGAGTTTTCTTTGAGTGAATATCCGGCTTCGGAGTTGGTTTTGGGTCTTCGTTTGTGCTAAGCCACTATCGTTTTCGCGTTCGATTATCATAAAAGATCCATTTTTCATCAGAAGTGACAATGGAATCCAAGAAGCTTCTCTTTTTCGCAAGTTTTAGTAGTATTCCAGCTGTGATAACACGAGTAGCCTTATTTTCTTCGCTCAATTCATGCGGAATCCACTTTCCACTGCGGTTACTTTTCCCCAATGCATAAAGTCGCTTTTCGATTGCAGTATGCGAAAAGCCCAATCGATCCCCTAGCTCGCGTGATGTTTGACTTGGATCCTCCTTTAAAGCTGCTTCCAAAATATCGTTCTGCAGAAGTTCGGGTCGTCCTTAGCGAGGCTCATCTTCAAGACTTTCATCCCCTTCCTTGAACCGTCGATACCATCTCTTACATTGTGTTTCGGAAAGAGCTTCATCACCAAAAACTCGCAATAAATCTCTGTGGGATTCGGCAGCTGTTTTGTCTTGTTTGTAGTCGTACCAGAGACAGACACGCATTCGATATTTGAGATCTTCCATTTCTAAACAAAATTATTTGAAAAGTATCAAATCAAGGAAAGTAAAAAACGTATAATAATGCACCAGAAATTCAGTAATATTCAATTAACAACAAGCGAGGGTAGATTAAACGCAAAGATTAAAAGATTTTATCAAAAAAGGGCGAGGGCCATTATTTAGTTGCCAACCTAATAGATGCAACTAAACCAGATAAAGCGGTTATTTTTGAGATGAATCACTTGGGTTGCCACTTGCCACCAAATTGTAAGAATATTATGGAGCGATTTTATTCTTGCCGTCACATCCGCCCATTAAACACTCATTTGTGCAACTGGAATCGAAAAAATTGAAACATTAACTTTTCGAATAATAACAAATTGATAAAAAGCGTTGAATTGGCGTTAAGTCTGCGTAATTAAGCTGAAAACTTTTGAAAACGATTTTAATTTGAAAAAAGATCAGCTGAGACTTTAAAAGACTCACTCATCAGTGAATCAAAAATCAGAACCTCTCAAGAACAGATTTGATTGAGGGGGAATTTAGGATTGAGGAATTTGATGATGTGGAAAGGAAAAGAAAAGGAAAAGAGGAGGAAAAGAAAAGGAAAAGAAAAGAAAAAACGACCCGACACCCCCACAAACACTCCACATTTTCCACTCTTCTTTGTCCCATTTTTTTTCCTCGATTCGAGTGAAATTGGATGATTAATGATCGAGAATTGGTTAAGAATTGGTTAAGAAATGGATACATGGGTGAATCAAATGGATGAGTAAATCAAATGAAATCTAATTGTAGCTCTATCATGATTTTGATGAATCAAATGAATGGGTGAATCAAATGAAATCTAATTGTAGCTCTAGCATGATTTCGATCTAAAATTTAAAAAGCACAAACGATTTTCTCATTTCTCAAAAGGGTTTTTCAAAAGTTTTAAAGCTTCAGTGAAGCTTTTAAAGCTTCAGTTTTAAAGCTATTTTTATATTTTGTCCAGAATCGTCCGATTATCATTTTTTCAGGCCTCTAGAGCATCATTTGCGTGGAAAGATCTTTCAAAACGTCGAGGAAATGCGCTTGTCACTCTGCTCAGTTTTTCGATTCGAAGCCACGTGAGTTTTACCGCCGCGGAATCGATTTGTTGCCGGATAAGTGGCAGGATGTTATTGATGTTGACGGTGAATATTTCGAGTAGATAAATTCTGTTTTTATTTGGCATTTTTGATGCGTAAAATAAAAAGTTAGATCTAGCGTCAAAAAACGGAAAGAACTTTTCGGCCAACCTAATATATTGAAATTCTAATGTTTAAAATAAAATTATTGACAATATTTGGAGGAAAATGTTTAAAATTTGAATTGTTTTTCGAAAATGGAAGGAAAAAATTGAATTTTTGACAATCTTACCTTTTAGGCAAGCTAAAAAGTCAAGTAAAAAGTTTAACAAGAAAAAAAATTGAATGAAGAATTCACATTACGATTCTGGAATGTTCTGAATCGCCAATTTCGTCAAAATTGAAACTTCTATTTTCAAATCAAAGTATTCATTTCCAATCATAAGCTTTCACGGTTTCTTCAACAATTTCCTTGCATCGATGCATGATTTCTTTAATTCGCGCATCATCGTCGTCTTTTCCCCGTTTCAGTACCTGAAATTGTAATAATGTTTGGATAAATTTGTAGGCTGATAACGTAGAATAGATCTAATAGTTAGATCTAATAGTTAGATCTAATAGTTAGATCTAATAGTTTAATAGATCCAATAAATCTACTGTAGAAGTATTGGGTTAGTGCATTGAAAACTGCGGGCTATTTCGCGGGATTCGCAGATAAAGAAAACAACATCATAGAACCAGCTGAAAAGGGGTTTGTTTACTTCAACATTTCCTCAAATTATTGCGAAAAAAATTATGGTTCCAGCTTTTTATTTTTTGGTATTTTTCTTCACTTTTTTCTATTGCACTCGACAATCTGCACATATTCGTCATGTGATGCTTCATGTGATGCTTCATGAGTTCCTTCATGAGCCATGTGATGCTTCATGAGTTCCTTCATGAGCCATGTGATGCTTCATGAGTTCCTTCATGAGCCATGTGATGCTTCATGAGTTCCTTCATGAGCCATGTGATGCTTCATGAGTTCCTTCATGAGTCATGTCATGCTTCATGAGTTCCTTCATGAGTCATGTGATGCTTCATGAGTTCCTTCATGAGTCATGTCATGCCTCATAAGTTCCTACAAGAGCACAGTGCAGGGTTGGCAAATGCTAATATTAAAAAGATATATGGGGAGGACTCACCTTCAAAAAGAAGATGTCGAGTATGGTTTGCCAAGTTTCGTTCTGGGGACAAATCTTTGAAAGATGCAGAGGGCCGTGGAGCGGCACCCCAACTAGATGACTCCAAATTACTCGAACTCATTACCAACGACCATCGGGTGTCATCGCGTGAATTGGGAGAAGAGTTAGGGGTTAATCATGTTACAGTGCAAAGGCACCTTCATACCCTTGGATTTAAATCGAAATTTGGGGCTTGGGTGCCCCATAACCTCACTGACCCACAGAAGTGGTAGCGCGCCTCGATCAGTGCCGCCCATCTCTCACGATACGAAAGGAAATCTTTTCTTCCTCAAATTGTGACAGGAGATGCGAAATGGGTTTTATCTGTGAACTTTTGGAGGAAGCGGCAATGGGTGGGGCCAGGTGAGAAACCCGAAAATGACCCCAATGATGACCGAAAATGAAAATGACCCATGAAGCCCGATTTGCACCAGAAGAAGTTTATGCCCTGCGTTTTCTGGGAGATGGAGGGAGTGTTGTATTGGGAGTTCCCGGATAGCAAGACGACACTTAGTGCAATCAAATACAGTGAACAGTTGGGAAAGGTGAATGAATCCTTGAAGAAGAATAGACCCTCCAAGTCAAAGATCGTTCTCATCCACGACAACGCGCGCCTTCATGTTGCAAAACTGACTCACTCTAAAATAAATGGCCTTGTTTGGGAACTTTTGGCGCATCCCTCATACAGTCCGGACCTCGCCCCTTCTAATTACTATTTATTCCGGAGCATGAGTAATGAGCTTGCGGGAGAACACTTCGATTCGGAAGAAGCAGTCAAAAATTGTCTCCAAAAGTTTTTCAATTCAAAAGCAAAATCCTACTACGAAAGAGGAATCCGAAAATTGCCTGTAAAATGGGCAGAAGTCGTCAATAATAATAGAAATTATTTGGAATGAATTTATGGTTTTATGTTGAATAAATTTTTGTTCAAAGTCCCCGCAGTTTTCAATTCACCAACCCAATATCTATAAATATTATTTTAAATATTTCTATGTTACCGGCGAATTGCTCCACATTCCCGCGGAGAAAACGCCCATCGCGGCCGTATAGGGCAACATTCGCTTGTAGCTTTCCTGAAAATTTACAAGTTTCAAAGTAATTAATGTGAATTGCTATTGGGACGTCATCAATCCAAGTTCACTTTAAGATAATCCAAGTTCATTTTATGATGATAGTTTTCAAATTTTCCTCACTTGAAAGGTTTCCTTTGTAATCGGTGACTCCAGTCCGATCGATTCCATTTTCGTTTTCAACTGTGCCAGGTAATAATCCCGGAGTTTCTCGAAAGATTCGTGCCTCAATTTCACCGGTACACTCATTGAAAGCACGTGCATCAGGTCGACGGTCTGTAAGAGGGAAAAGTGAGTTTCAAAAGTTTACAAATTCAAATTTTACAAATTCAAAGAGTTTACGCATTAGTAATAATTGAATTTGATTTGATCTTTAATCAAAAAAACGAATAAGAAGGCTAGAATTTTTGAGGAAAAAAAATTGAGTTTCAAAGTGTAGTGATTGAAATAGTGTACCGTCGAGTTAATAACAGTTAACTCGTAAAATTAAAAAAAAAAAACAACCCAGCCAGCAAGCTATAATTGATCTGACTTAGTAGTTTATCATTCAAAATTTACTCGTTGACAAGTTGAGTACGTTTGAATTTGATTATTACCCAAAATGACTCCAGAAAGTCCCCTTTTCATGTATAATCTACTATTTCTAAAAATGATCCAAGAAATTTGAATAAACATCAGCAATTTGAGACTGATTCAAATTTAAAGCTCAAATTTAAAGAGATTCAAATTTAAAGTTGCAAACTTAACGCCTTTTTGATCAAAGTCGGTCAATTCAATGGCCATCAAACCATTCTTTTACTTATAATCCATAAAAAGAACTTCAGAAGAGTGTGTTTCCAAGTTTTCTATATTAAAGCGAGTTGATTTATGCCTAATGGTCATATCGAAGCGTGGATTTACATTTGGACCAGGTGATTCAATTTTAAGATTCTAAAGCAATTAATCGTGAACATTTACCGTTATTCGACTAAACTATTCGAGTATTCGCGTTCGAATGCTTTAATCTTTTAAAAATCTCACCACCGGTCCCTCCTTGCACAGCGCCCAATCAACGATCGCAGCGATTTTCTCGGCTTTCCACAAAATTTGCGGTGACCACAGATCTCCATGGCATAGGACGGTGTTCGGATCTGATAAAGGATTAAATATTACATAGTTTTATAGCTTTTTGCTAAAGTTTACGGTATAAACATATCTTTATAACATAATAATCTATCATGAAACAGGGCTTGTAGATTAACAGTAGGCTTAAGCCAGTCTAGGAAACAAATTCTGATTTTGAATTCGAAACATAAAGCTTCAAAAGTTCCAAAAGCAAACAAACTAATTACTAGCTAGTCTATAAATCAAATGGAAAATTTCTTATCTATCCTTATCTAAAATTACCTAAATTTTGCTTCTAGGCTTGAAACATTTAACTACAAAACATACAAAACCATCCAAATAGCTTTATTGAATGAATTTTTGACTAGAAACCTCTTTATTATTGAATCAGTATTCTAAGTTCGATCCATAGTCGTGAAAATTTGGAAATTTTATGCTTTTTTAATAAAATTACCGCTTTTGATCGCCTCGAAAAGATCTTGAAACCAGTCTTTCGTCAAATGATTTCGAATCAACACATCCACTGAGGCAAGGTATTCGGGGTTTTGCTGGAAAAAGGATTTGACTTTGACGGAAAGGAAAAAGGACAAAAAGTTAATAAATGTCCTCGAGAAAGAAAATAATGCAATGACGAACTTTAAGAATTTGACGATTTTTAATTTTCGAATAGCAGCTCACAAAAAGTTAGGTTTCAAATTTTGGGCAGCTCATCGAGCAAATGTGTGCGGCTATTCGCGATTGAGATTTCTTAAGCAACTAATTTAAATTTTAGGCTAAGTCAGTTAATTTCTAGTTTTAACTTTAATTAATCATTAATGTTTAAAGTATAGAATAACTCGATTTTCCCCAAACCTTGTACAATTGCTCCGCGACTCCGAGTACCAACTTCTGGAATTGTTCCATGTGAGTCAGAGTTGACTGAAAAATGGCTTGTGCTTTTAAAAATCTTAAAAAAGCTTTAAAAAGTCATTTTGAATATAAGATTTGTTTAGATTTAGTTTAAAAGCGCATGCATGTCAGATCGATTAATTTCGATCGTCTATTGCTAACCGGAACACATTTGAAACTCAACTTTTTTTCTCTATACTCGATTCCATATTTAAACAGTGCTATTGCGCGAGTTTAAACAAAAATTAATAGCTCAAAATATGATCCTAAAATATCTAGGGATAAAATGTGACACGATTGACAATTGGTTATCATAATTGCCTTCACACATACCATAAAAACTCTGATAGAAGAGTCCCTATAGGAGCGTCGCCAAGTCTAAGTTTACCCTCAAACAAAGGCTCATATCTTGACACCAGTACGTTTGTTTCTACACGCTTAGATATCAAATTAAAGTAGAAAGAATGGATGATTTTTTTAAGATATAACACATATTTTTAGCATTAACCAGTGCTTAGAACAAACTGATTGAAAAATGACAAAAATAGCCGATTTTTCATCATTTTTTAATCATTTCTAAGCACTGGTTAATGCTAAAAATATGTGTTATATCTTAAAGTTTATGTTAATTATTTTTGACTTTTTGCCGAACCTCTTTGATTCCACAGTTTTTCACTTCATCGTACTTGTAGCTAAGCGCGTGCAATTTCACCAGTTCGTCAACAATGGCGAATAGCTAAAAAAGAAAACGATAAATGAAATTTTTAAGCACAATTCTATCTAAATTTATTCAATCTACTTAAAAGAAAATGCATTATGGTAATTATTTCATTGGAAATTCCCAGGTTTACTTGATGTTAACCGGATTGAAACACGGATTTGGAGAAACAGTGTTTTAAAATGTCAGTTTTGAAACCAGATTGATCTCAAAAGACGAGCTATCCATTTAGTTATTAGTGTCAGTAGACATGGGCACTATAAACTACAAAATTGACGAATTTTCATACTACAAATGCTTCTAATTTACTTTAAAAAATCTAGATTGACATGATCTGTAGCACAAAAAATTGAGGAGGTTTCGAATGAACCAAAAGCACACCCAAAAATATCAGCCCTAAACTTTCTTATCTTTCTTATCAGCCCTAAACGCTGTAACTTCCTTTAGCATTGATATTTTTGGGTGTGCTTTAGCCCATTCGAAAGCTCTTGAGATTCTCTATTTTTTGAGCTAAAAATCATGCCAATCTAGAATATTTGAAGTAAATTAGAAGGGCTTTTAGTTTGTAGTGCCCATGCCTAGTGTCGAGGAGTTATAATATCGAAAAATTTATAAAATTTTTAAAATAACACACTTGTTTCTCATTGAATCCCTCAGCGACATCAAAAGTGATAGCTTTCTCCAAATCCTCCATGACAATGATTGGTGTTCCAGTTGAGACGTCGAGTGCCGAGTACAGGAAAGGAATCGAGAGACGGAATTCTGGATCTAAATTCTGATAATCATTAACGTGAACAACTTCGATAATAAGGCAATAAACTTTTATTGCTTTAAAATAAAAACTTTGAAAATAGTTCAGAAAATTCAGCTTAAAAATTTCAAAATTTTTCATGAATAAGTTCAGAAATCAAAATCAGAAAAATTTGAATCAAGGTTAGAAATGGTAGTCTGGAAATTGAAATGGAAACTAGAAATGGGATTTATAAGGTCATTTTGGCCATTTAAACTTGAAAAAATATGCAATTTGTCAACTACTAGCAAATTCAAAGACATTCGATTGAATAGGGGTGCAAAAGAACTCATTTACCCTTACACACATTGAAATTAAAGTTGAAACGTTCCCTTAGATCCAATTTGGGGAGTGGGACCAATGCGACCTTTTTTCTGCGCACCCGGACATTTGCTCACCTTTTTTTCCGCACTTAGCCCATTAGCGCACCTTTTTTCGCGTTTTAAAAAGCTCTAAAAGCTAATATTAACCAATTTCTATTCCAAAAGTTGTTTTTCTAGGTAATTTTAGGGCGTAGAATCGAAATTTTGACATATCAGAGCTTCTGGAAGCGAACGGACGGAGTTATACAAAGAGAAAAATCAACAATTTTCTGTAATTTGACCTAGCCGTTTTGTCTTTCAAATTGGTTCCACACGCTCTGTTATGTCAAAATTTGAATTCGACACCCTCAAATTACCTAGAAAAACAACTTTTGGAATAGAAATTGGTTAATATTAGCTTTTAGAGCTTTTTTAAAACGCGAAAAAAGGTGAGCTAATGGGCTAAGTGCGGAAAAAAGGTGCGCAAATGTCCAGGTGCGCAAAAAAAAGGTCGCATTTGTCCCACTCCCACTGAAACGTTCCCTTAGATCCAATTTGAGGTGAAACTCAAGATTTTTAACGGCTTTCCAAAAAGATGTGTCAAAAAGCTGTCAAAAAGACTTTCTATTAAGCTGCCGAGAAAATCTTTTCGTTCTTTTTCGTACTTTCATTGAAAAACAACAAATTTACCAATTAATCTATGATTTTCTCTAAATAAAAAGTGTTTATTGTTCAATTTTCATCTTTTTAGGGCAATTTGGGTCCATTTTCAAGCAAATTCGAGAGCGAAAAACGTGTTTTTTCGTAGAAAAATCTATAAAAACCTCTACGAAGAAATTGGTTGAATGAATTTCTCTGAAAATTTGACTATATACTAAACTTTTTGTGCTCTATCTTTTATTTACTGACATGAAGATAAGTTTCTTTAGCTAAAGTGTCTAAATCGCATCATCAAGCCGACTTTTTGACTACCCGACTTCACGCTCCCAAAAAAATCCACACATAACCATTTGAAACCTGTTTTAATGTTATTTTGCAGAGAAATGATTGGACTTTCTAATGAACCTTTCTAATGAAAGAAACCATTGTTCAATTGGTGCATTTGTTGATTTTAAACGAAAGTACAAAAAAGAACGAAAAGACTTTCTAGACAGCCAAACCCTAAGCCTGAGCAAAGGAGTTTTTTTTTAAAATGGGTAACTCACATTTCGATAGACAATTGTAGACGCTCGTTTCACAATTGTGCATCATCGTGATCACATCACCACCATAGTCGTCCATTTCGTGGCCATTCTCCGCCGATTTGCTCCACGCCTCCGATGCAACGGTCACATTGGGTAACTAAAAAGAAACTGTGTTTTTTTGTTTTAAAACCACCGACTCTAGAAGCTATTTTATTTTAGAAGGAATATTTTAAACCTTTAAAATGACCTTTATAATAACGGAAGTTGGTTTGTCAGCTGGATTCTCCCATTGCAAATGCACTCGTCTCATCGTTGACATGTAGCCGAGCGTCTCTGGGCCAAGACAGGACACCTAAAAATTGACAATTTTCGAGTGGCATTGAGAAATTTTGTTTGATATTAATTAGCAAACATATCCTATAACAATTTAGTTTGAAATTTGATCTAATGCATTACTTTTTATACTTTTGCCTAGGTTCATCGGCTTTAAAAACAATTTTGCAACCTTTTTACGGCTTTCAGAAACGAAATTTTTCCTCAATTTCGCATTTTCTATGGTTCTAAATAAATCAAAAGCAGTAGCACCTGCAAAATCGATTAAAAACCATTCCAATCTTATTATTTTGTCGACAATGTTTCAATATCTCTAAAAAAATTACCTCTTTAACGGTCGGCTGTTCATCGAAATGTGTTTCCATCACTTCCGATAGCCATTTCTTTGTCAATTTAGCTCCCTCAACAAGTAGATCGATTGATTCAGTCATTTTTTTTCCTTAAAAAATTAAAATTTAAAGCTAAATGTCAGCTAAATCAGGGTTAGAAACAAAAACCGTAAAAAAATGAATTGAGAAACTTTGTTTCAAAGTAAGCAAAGCAAAGTAAGCAAAGATTGGTTGGGTAATTAATTACTAAATTAATTAATTATCGATGATTAATTATTGACAATTAACAAACAATGACAATCAATGGGGTAGGCTAATTTCCGCCATTTTATTTGCGCAAAAGGGTCATTTGCGCAGCTGGGTCTTTTGCGCAACTCGCCATAACTTTCTTCTAAGTGAACCAATCTTTACAATTTTGGTTTCATTTTGTAGATCTCAATAAGTGCAACAAAATAAAACCAAAATCCAAAACCAAAAGATTGGCCGACTTAGAAGAAAGTTATGGCGAGTTGCGCAAAAGACCCAGTTCACGTCCGCGCGAAATAAGGCGAAAAATGCGATCGCCGTTAAATTTGCTCAAGATAAGTGCTATTCGATGCGAAAAAATGTCCTGAATCCAAATTTGAAAGAATTTTTCGAATCCGTCTGACAGATTTTTTTTAAATCAAAAAAAATCGAAAAAATCACTATTTTTCTATATAAACGACAAAATTGCCTCTCTTTTACAGGCTGGTTCTCGGCGAAAAGGAAATTTTGGTGAGGGTCATATACCAAACTTTATGCTCAAGGGTCTTGTGCACATTTTGACACCAAAACGAGATCAATTGGGTGAATCTGTGAAAAGTTGATGCCTTTTGAACGCAAAAGTAGTGTTTTTCAACTTTCTGCGCGCTAGAGCGTGGGTAAACTACCGGAACTATTACAAAAAAAACAAAATTATAAAACAAACAAATGTGTTTTTATGAATTTTTGCAATTCTTTTTGTTTTTCTTCACTTCAATCAAAATTTTGGCTCTTTTTCTATTGTTTACATAATTTTGTTTCCAACTGATGACCCCTCTACCTGTAAAACACAAATCATTCGTTGAAATCAAAATTATGTAAACAATAAAAAAAGAGCCAAAATTTTGATTGAAGTGAAGAAAAACAAAAAGAATTGCAAAAATTCATAAAAACACATTTGTTTGTTTTATAATTTGTTTTAGTTCCGGTAGTTTACCCACGCTCTAGCGTGCAGAAAGTTGAAAAACACTACTTTTGCGTTCAAAAGGCATCAACTTTTCACAGAATCACCCAATTCATCTCGTTTTGGTGTCAAAATGTGCACAAGACCCTTGAGCATAAAGTTTGGTATATGACGCTCACCAAAATTTCCTTTTCGCCGAGAACCAGCCTGTAAAAGAGAGGCAATTTTGGCGTTTATATGGAAAAATAGTGATTTTTTCGATTTTTTCGATTTAAAAAAAATCTGTCAGACGGATTTGAAAAATTCTTTCAAACTTGAATTCAGGACATTTTTTCGCATCGAATAGCACTTACCGTGAACAAGTTTAACGGCGATCGCATTTTCGCGCGGATGTGCAGTTGCGCAAATGACCCTTTTGCGCAAAGAATTTGGCGCAAAGTAGCCTATCCCCAATCAATCAATCAATTAATAATTAATTATTGATGATTAAGTAAATTAGTCACTTTGTTTGAAGCCTGGAATGTTTTCTATTAAAAATATATGAAAAGTAAACGAAAATCTTGTCTCTGCAAAACGTTATGAACATTTATAGCTTGACAACTAATCTAAAAGTCCCCTAAACTATTGAAGAGCCATTTTTTAAACAGTCTACTATACAGGGTGGCTGAAAATTACGTGCGCGCAGCATCAACATCATAGTTTTAAACAATGTATAAAGCATTACTACTCATCTTTTTGTGTTTTAATATTCTTTTTATCGTTGTCTATTAATTTTTTTGTTAAAAAAGTTGTTTTCTAGGTCATGACAAAGACGTGCGCTAGTCGGGACGCAATCGCACAGCTGGCGACGAGCGGCATGAAGAACTCGTCGATCGCATCGAGGCTTGGGGTGGCTCTGAGGACCGTTCAGAAGATCGTAAAGCAATAGAAAGATGAGGGGCATGTTCAGTCCAAGCCCGGAAGAGGACAAAAGAGGACCGTTAACACCCGAAAGATGCGTGGGATCATCAAGAGGAGGATCGAGCGAAAAGACAATCGTAGTTTGAACAAGATGGCAAAACAGCTTTAAATTTCGCGTTTCTCGGTTCAATCGATAGCGAAAAATGAGCTCGGACTTCGAAGTTATCGACTGTTAAACGGTCAAGTGCTCACCGATCAAGCCAAGCAAAACCGGAAGGAGAAATGCCAGAAATTGCGAGCTTTTTTCAAGGTGCGGCGCATTGACGATGTTCTTTGGTCGGATGAGAAGATTTTCACCTTGGAAGTGGCTAAAAACTCACAAAATCACCGTCAACTTCTCAGTCCAGCTCTCAAGAGCACTCGTAAACGAAAAGTCGCTACAAAAGGTCAGTTTCCAAAAAGTTTGATGGTTTGGGGTGGAATCAGTGCTTCGGGCAAGACCCCGTTGGTTTTTATCGATAAAAATGTGAAGATTAACGCAAAAGTCTATCAAAAAGAGATTCTCGAGAAAGCTGTGGTGCCATGGAAGAGAAGCCATCCCAATTTGACCTTTCAACAAGATTGGGCGCCGGCCCACGGAGCCAAAACAACAATTCGCTTTCTCGAAACCAAAATTGGCTCTTTTTTGACGAAGGATCAATGGCCTGCAAACAGCCCGGATCTCAATCCGTTGGACTTTTCGGTTTGGGGTTTTATGGAAGAACAATTGAGAAATAGGAAAATCACAAATTTGAATGATTTACGTCGAGAATTGATCAAAATCTGGAATGACTTAGATGCAAATTATCTCCGCCGCACCGTCGATTCTGTAAAGAAGCGAATTGAAGCCTGGATCAAAGCGGATGGAGGCCACTTCGAAAATTTCTTGTAATTATTAAATGCTTTTGTTACAACTATTATATAAATAAATATTTTTACATTTTCTTCGAACAAAAATTAAATTAAAATTTTCTTTGGCGCACATAATTTTCAGCCACCCTGTATATAAAAGAGAAGTGTCTGTCCGTCCGTCTGTACGGGCTTTTTTTCAGCCGTTTTTGGGCCAAAAAAAACTGAGATTTTTTTAAAAGTCTTAAAATATAATAGCTGCGCCATTTAAAACAAAAAAAATTCAAAAAAATCGAAATTGAGTGGCACTACTGGGGGTCGAACCCGGGTTTTGTGGGCTGTAGACAAGCGCGCTCCCGACTACGCCATGGGGACAATGCGTTGACATCAAACATTCAGTCAGCTGGTTTACAATAAAGATATAATTTGAGACACGTTCAAATAAAGCCTTTCCCTCATGACTGTGTTGTGCTTGGGGGATTCAAAATGATTCCGTTTTCTCAATTTCCCCTCTTTACTATCTTATCACTCAATGACTCCTGTCTTTTCCCTTTTTTTCGTGCGTTCCTTGTTTTTTGGCATAGTTTATGACGATTTGTTTGCACGAGACTGTTTTCAAGTAGAGGTGATTTAGTGATGAAATTTAAATCATCGTTTAGTTAATACTCAAAAGAACAATGATGAGATCAAGTGAACCTGTGTGAAAAGTGTCAGAATTTTAAAACAAAGCAAGAAAAAGATATTACATTTACACTAAAGCTTTTAAGTTTAGACATTTCGATAAGTCTCAAATTTGGGGATTAATTTCGAAAACCAGCTGCTCATTCGCATCATTTTTTGACCTCGGCCACTTTTTGAAAAGCCAATCGTCCGTTGGGAAGTTTGGCCATTCTCTAAAATTTTTTTGAATCTCATTTTCAGTAAGATTTAGATGTGTTTTTGAACTTTGTCAATATTTGGGAGTTTCTTGTTTAAAGCTTGGATTGTTTCCGGTATAGGTTTAAAAAAATTAATCGTCAGGGTTAAAGGAGAAATTTGGTCAGATCCAAATTTTTCCATTTCTAGCATTTCTTGAATGAGATCAAGCTACTATGAGTTTATTGGAATCTTACAGTATTTTTTAAAAAATCGCAGTATTCAAATACTTTATGTGAAAGGTACCCTCATGATGACGAAATCTTCATTCGATGGCAAATGGCTTTCGTTGGGTTCGTTGGCGAAAGGGCCAAGTAGTTGGGTGGATGATCTGAAATTATTGATTCTATATAGGTTGGGGAGATAGATTTTAGATTTTTCTAGGTTCTATTTTGCTCAAAAAACAAAAATTCCTACTTTCTGTCTTTTTTTTGCTAAGAAATTGCCCCTAAAATGCTGTTTTTTTGGGTAAAATAGCCCCTAAAAAAATTTTTGTTTGGGTTTTCTCAAAAAAACCAAAAAGTTAGTCATCTAATCCGGCTTGAATTCAGCTAGAAATTGGTATCTAACACTTGTAGATTACCCTTCGATGAGATCCTCTCCCAAGAAATCGGCAAGAACTTTCTCTCCAGCCTAACAATAAAAAGGTAAGAAAAAGGCGTGAATTGCGGATTTGTTCTTAAAAATCCCAGCTACAACTCCATGCAATTGAAACCTTTAATTAAAAAAATTGTCTTTTTTAACTTTTCTTGACCCACTTCGCATAGTATTCCCCGGGTTCGAGCTGCGAGAAAATGTAGCGATTGAAGGCTCGCGGGATTGGGTGAACGCCGGGCAGAGAGCTTGGATCCACTGTAAAACTAAACAAAATGGAATTAAAACCGTTTAGCTTTTATAAAAAATTTTGAATTCATTCTTTAATTAAATCTAAATTAAATCTAATCTTTAATTAAATCTCAAGTTGCCGAGTTTCACAAAAAATGATTGCTTCAAATCTAGTCAGCTTGGAATCTATTCTATTTGCAATCTAGTCAGCTTCTGAAAGTTCATTAATAAGGTTCGCTCGACTTAAGAAAGATACTGAATTCAATCTAACAAATTTTTTTAAAGTTTGAAAATTTACAACACTAAACTAAACACACTCCAAAGTAGGTCAATCAAATTTGAGCGATTTCTATTTGATATCAATGTATTCTTAGCTGATCTTAGATTCTTAGCACACTGATTAGAAAGCTGTGTTCCAAATTTAACAATGACACCTCTGATGCTAAATTGCCAATAAAGAGATGGATGATATGCAATCCAATTCTTTTCAAAAAACAAAAGTTTATGTATGTTCAAATTCTTGCAAAAAATGACTACAGGATGTTCAATATTTATGGGGACTTTTGAGCTCGCAGGTCGTTTAGTGCTCTCAAAATTGGTTTATGAAAAAAATCGTCAAGAAAGCACTGCATAGGAATTGGAAGAAACTCGATTTTCTAGATTATTTTTACAGTTTACTAAATTTTATATTCCAAAAACGATTCATCGGAACTCGCTCAACAATTTTCATCAAAAGAAGTCAGAACCTAGTTGTTCTTATTTAACGATGAGAAAGTCTTCACTATTTAACAGTTTTCGAATCTACGGGACATTAAAAAGGAAACACACTTATCAATACGCCCAATGTTAACAACTTTAAGTTACTTTTTTCAAAATCATTGCCTTTTGCGCTGTTGTTTGCTTAGAAGCACGTGTGGAAAGCGCCTATCGCAGCCTTTTGGTGAAATTTGATCGGATAAATTGAGTTTTTCATAAACTTATGTTAAGTTTTCTTGAAAGAATCAAAACTAAAATGTGGTTCTAATGCGAAACCATTCTCGTTCACTTAACATAAGTTTGTGACAAACTCTATTTATCCGATCAAATTTCACCAAAAGGCCACGATAGGCGCTTTCCACACGTGCTTCTAAGCAAACAACAGCGCAAAAGGCAGTGATTTTGAAAAAAGTAACTTAAAGTTGTTAAAATTGGGCGTATTGATAAGTGTTTCCCTTTTAAGCATTAAACTTGTACAAAATGAGCTCTAAACGTAATAATCTACTGGTCTCCATAAATATTGAACACCCTGTATACCAAAACTGGGAGTGGGACAAATGCGACCTTTTTTTTTGCGCACCCGGACATTTGCGCACCTTGCCCATTAGCGCACCTTTTTTCGCGTTTTAAAAAAGCTCTAAAAAGCTAATATTAACCAATTTCTATTCCAAATTTTGTTTTTCTAGGTAATTTGAGGGTGTCGAATTCAAATTTTAACATAACAGAGCGTGTGGAACCAATTTGAAAGACAAAACGGCTAGATCAAATTACAGAAAATTGTCGATCTTTCTCTTTGTATAACTGCGTCCGTTTGTTTCCACAAGCTCTGATATGTCAAAATTTCGATTCTACGTCCTAAAATTACCTAGAAAAACAACTTTTGGAATAGAAATTGGTTAATATTAGCTTTTTAGAGCTTTTTTAAAACGCGAAAAAAGGTGCGCTAATGGGCTAAGTGCGGAAAAAAAAGGTCGCATTTGTCCCACTCCCCCAAAACTTCATTAAGCACTCACTCATTCTCGCTATTCTCCCTTTCGCCAGTGAAAACGCTCATTTGTGGATTCGTCCTCATTTTCGTGTCATTTCGCGGATCCTCGGGAATCGGTGAACGAGAATGGTTTCGCATTGTTTGTGATTCTAAAAAAAAATGGTTATTTGTTGTTGCATTGATAAAAAATAAAAATTAAAAAAGCACTGATAAAACAAGTAAAACGGAACAAGTAAAACTTTAATTTCGAAACTAGTAATATGAAATGAATCATTGGAGAAACAAAATTATTCTAAGAAATAACACTTGTTCTCGGGAAATCAAAACGTTTCTAGAAGAAAAATGGAGAACTTGGTGTGGAAAAGAGGATGCGTTTACAGTTTCGAGCACAAAGTACACTGAAGAAGCACAAAGTACACACAAAGTACGCTGGGAAATTAAAAAAAATCATAAAATAACGAATTTTTAGCTTAAAATGATTCGAAAAGTAACGCAATTCTATAAAGGATTTTAAAAAGTATACAAGAAATGAAAAAGTGATGGTGAGACAAAGAAAATGAGGATCTTTTGAATGGGGAGAACATATGGGATTGGGGGAAATGGGGAAAACGAGTGGCAGTTGTGAATCGAGGTCAATCGAATCAAAAGAGAAATGTTAACTAAGCGTTTTTTTGAAACTTTTCGCGCGTTTTGAAAGATCAAAAGAGTTGGACGGCTGGCTGGCAAGCTGGATTGAGTATTGTTTTTGAAAAAAAACAACTGCCCGTCATCAGTTGCAAGTTTTTCATCTTAAAGTGACACAATTTGAAACAAGGATTTTGAAATGAGTGAGCTCGTGTACTTTGTGCTCATGCAAACGTGCTCTGTGCACGATGTAAACATATTCTTTCTAGGGCATTGAAGTCTTTTTTTTAACTAAAATACCCAATGTTTACGTAAAAAATTGACCTAACAAAGTCAATTGTTAGTCAAAACAGTCAAAATAGTCAAAACAGTCAGTCAAAATAGTCAAAATAGTCAAAACAGTCAAAACAGTCAGTCAAAACAAAGCTGGAGCTTCATCAGATGACTTCAAATTTGAAACTTGGCTTTCTCATAGATAAGTGCAATAAACTAGTGCAATAAGATCTTCGGAATTCCTCTTTTTCCTAGTTTTTTGATCAGAAGAATATAAAGACGCAAAAATTCTTTTATTTTTTCATTCTTCTATTCGCAAATTTCTCATATCAATTCACACAAAGACTGCCCTCATTTTGCTGCAAAAAAAATCGTCTTTTTCTTTTCAATTCCACAAAATTTGTCGAGTATAAAAGAGAAGATGAATTGCTGAAAAATCAGACATATTTACTTAAGAAATCAACGAAATGCAGAGAAAACTCATCGTTTTTCTCATCGTTATTGTTGGAGTGCGAGCAGGAGGTGAGTGAGGAGAATGATTGGGTTTCAAAGTTGACAGCTTTACTTTCACTAGTAAGTCGCTATTGTTCACAGAAAAATGTCCTCATTCTCATTCTAAAAAATGTCCTCATTCAGGTTGGGTATTTGTTGTGTTAAATGAAAATACGAAAAAAAACGAAAAGACTTATTCAATCGAATACAATTCAGTTTTAAAACCCAATTCAGCAATCCCCCACTACGATGATCATCACCACGACGAGCATGATTACAATGATTACAAGAAAGAATACGGTACGATTGCTAATGTCTAGCCGAAAAGGCTGATTCGACTCACTATTGTTAAAAGTGTTTTTCGAAAACGTTTCCGTTTTCTCAACTACTGTAATCTGACTCTAATTTTATCTAATCTATCGTCTTAGAAAACGAATTATTTAAGAGGAACATATTTTAATTGTGTCTGTTCTTATTTTAAATACCGAAAAATCAAAAGTCGAGTTTTAAATTTGGCGCTCTTGTTAATAGTTAATGGCACTTGTTAATAGTTAATGGCTCTTGTTAATAGTTAATGGCTTTACAATAGGCTCTTGTTAATAGTTAATGGCTTTACAATAGGCTCTTGTTAATAGTTAATGGCTCTTGTTAATAGTTAATATCCAAGTTTTGGCTAAATCACAGAATCAGACCAAACAATCAGACCAAATTGAAATAATTTTATATTTTTAGACTCAGGCTACGAATCGGGAAGTCACCACGTGGAGGGAGCTTACAAATATGGAGGAGAAGGGAAATACGCAAAGGGAACATCGTACGGGAAAACTTGGGGTGAATGCTAAAAAAACCTAAAACTTTTGAGTCGATTGTGTAGACTATTTACTAAATGATTAAGAAATAAGCCTTGAAACTTGTAAAAGTTTAGGCACACATTACGGCGATCACAACGAGTACGCGCCCCACGATGGTGAGTTGGCTAAAGTTTTGAAAATATTTGGATCAAGCTTGGGCTTAAGTGAAATCAAAATGTAAATTCAGGAGAAATTGATTTTGAAGCATTGTAAGCATCGTAAGCATTGTAAACACTGTAAAACCGATCAACACTAAGCTTTAGAATGTCGATTTGTCTTCATTTAAGTTGAAACCGTACTTTCAACTGTACAAAACGTACTTTTTTAAAAGCTGTACAATTCAACTTGTAAAACTTAGACATTACTTTTCATAGAAAAAAATCTGAATTGATCAAGTTAAGATCAAGAATTTGCATCAAATAGAAATCACCAAAAAATTCAAAAATCTCTAAAATTTTACGGGAAAGCTGCACTCATTTTTTACGAGTAATTTCTTGTAGTCAACTTGTAAATAATAGAACAAAGTGTTCTTGAATTAGTGAAATCGTTTTTAAGAAATTTCAATTCAAATCTGTGCAAAGCCTTTCTTGTCAATTTGATAGAAAAACCATTGAAAGCATTGATCATTTCTTAATGAAATTGATGAAATTCAATGATTGCAATTAGTTATCCTGGTCAAGTTTGATTAAAAGCATGTTAGCTAGATGTATAATGCTTTGAAATAGAGTTTTTAGATGATTATGGCTATGGCTATGGCTATCACTACTCTCCATCGCATTATGATGCCCATCATCAGGATTATTGTAGGTTTTGGGTATATAACTAGTTTGAGGAAAAAGTCCTGGCTCAGCTGCGAAAAATTCAATTTTTATTCGCAATTTAATAAAAAAAATAACATTATTCCGCAAAATATAACCAATCCGAACCAAACGTGATCCGAAAGCTTGCAGATCGATGACAGAAAGTCGTAGATGAGCTACGATCGATGAGCTACGATCGATGATCTACGACTTTCTGCCATCGATCTGCAAGCTTTCGGATCTCGTCGAAGTATCACTTCGAATACCACTCCGGTTTCGAATCAAAGAACTCTTGGCAAGCTTCTTCAACTTCTTCAACTTCTTCAAATGATTTGAGTCACTATCATCCAACTGTGGCGGTCGACCGAAACGAGATAAGTCGAAGTCGAAGTCGACCGTCTTCAAGGCTCGTGTCATCGGAATCAAAGCACCTGTACTATCTTGAAACTTTAGATTTACTTAAAGTTCTTTCATCTTCAGCATCGTAAATCTCTTCCACGGCATCACTTGTCGAAAGTTTCCGTTTCCAGCAATAGCGAATCGAAACTCGAAGCTCTTTTTCTTGCAAACTCATCTGGAATACAAAGATGAAGATTGATAAAACACTATAAGCGCGAAAAACCATAAAAATGCATAAAAATTGAATTTGAGGTTGAGTCAGAACTTTTTCCTCAACCTAATAACCTTTTCAACTTTACAACCTTTACAAACACACTAGACAATTTATGAAAATAACTTTCGTCATTGTACAAAAAGTACAATGTCGAAAGTACAATGGAAATGCTGTAAACTTGAAACTAAAACCTTTGAGCAACTTGCGGCCTAAAAGAATGTAACAATTTTTCAGCCAAAGTCTCAAAGCCAAAGCCTAAGCCTAAGCCTAAGTCTAAGCCTAAGCCTAAGCATAAGCCTAAGCCTAAGCCTAAGCCTAAGCTTTAGATTCAAATCTTAAAGCTTATCCTTTCAAATATTTTCTTTTCAGCTCCCTACTCTCACCACGACTCAAACTATTGTAAGTTTTCAGCGAATCAATTGTTAAAGCAATTGTTAAAGTCTCAAGTCTCAGTCTACTCTCAGAGTAAAGTCAATTGTTAAATTTTGCCCAAATTTTGTTAATTGACAGATTACCAATATTTTCTGAATATTAAATCCAAGCTTTGCAGATAGAGAAATACTAAAATAGTTTAACTTTAGCTCCCTACTATTCGGGCTACAACAAGCACTACTCGCACGGATACGGACAGCCATTTTATGGAAACGGTGACTTTTGCAATTCTATACAGTTTTTAGCAACAGGAAAACTTTAATGAGTAAACTTTAATGAGTAAACAATTTGATTAAGCAATATAAAGTTTCAAGTCTTGTGCAGAAGTGCAGCAGTGAAATTGTTTTTAATTGCATTTCTTTTGAAGACATTTTAACGCAATATGGACACAGTCACAGTAAACTATAACTTTGTGCAAAGAAGGAAAACTATTCATTAGTTGCCTATTCATTAGTCTCAACTATTCATTAGTTGCCTAAAATATTCTTCAAACGATAAGAAAACTTCCAGAGTTTTTAACGATTTGATTTGTTTAGTTCGTTCGAGTTTCGAGTAGGCGCTAGGCGTTAGGCGCTAGGCGCTAGGCGTTAGGCGCTAGGCGTTAGGCGCTAGGCGTTAGGCGCTAGGCGTTAAAAGCGAAAGCGGCGTTCTCTTTAATCACTTTGGCTTGTTTGAATTTAAAGTTTATTAGCAAAGGGGCTTTAATTTTTTGCAAAAGCAAGTTTCAGGTCACCACTACGAGCCACATCACAATGATCATCACGATCATTACGGTTATGGATATGAATATCACTAGAAATTCTTCGTTTCATGCTCAAAAGTTTATGAACACAGGAATAAAGTGTTTGAAATTGATAAATCATGAAAACATTAACGTTTAGTACGTTTAAAACATTAACGTTTAATAAGTTTAAAACATTAACCTTTAATTGGTTTAAAACATCAACATTTAATACGTTAGAGCGTGTCAAAGTTGTAAAAACAGGTTTCCAACGCCGCCTGGGTAAGAGTCCTTTCCAATTGGGTAAGAGTCCTTTTTCTTAGTCGGGAGGT